AAAGATCTAGCTATGGGTCTCAGCATTGTTGCCGCGTCTAATGCAGCATATCACTCCGATGTACGCGATACGCGTTCAGGTTGCTACACTTGTAAGACGGCTCCTTGCTAATGGCATGACAGCCTTAATCGACGTAGGTGCATGAACACTTGCCTTCCTGTTTGTATCCGGCCGGTCATATTCTGACAACAACAATGCTTGTGTTCTGCATGCGTCAAGCGCGGACAACAGGCCGGTATAGACCTATACATGTAATCAAAGCATGCACGCATGTATGCAAGTGAGCATCACGGCACTCGAGTTGTCTAGGTGGGTAGGTCCCATTACTACCCTCCCTCGAAGTACATCGCTTACTCAGCCCGTTTTGTCACTTGGCCAACGAAGTAATTCTGTTACCTGGGCAAATACAGCAGTCGGGTATGAAGTCTATCGTAAGCTGATCCTATTGTTCAAGAACCTATCGTACACATATCTCGTCGAAGATGTATTGATCATTGATGACGATGTGAGCGGCCGCTTCGCCTAACGAAGCGTGTTCATCAGTATCGATGTTCGCTCGAGTCGTGCCGATGGCGTTACTTTAGTGGACAACGCTGGCGAACGACATGTAGGTGTTCGACGAGACAGTGAAGAAGCCGTGTGGAGGTCACCGACTCCCTGCAAAAAGGATTTAGTGTATTCGCATACGACCCCTAGCAGGTGATAGAGGGGACTGATCGATTTTTGTTGGAGGAGCAAAACGGGAGCAGGTTTCATCATAGAAGTGAAGCAGGCAGCCGACCCCAAGTGTCTTTCTCATCGACTGTCGACAGTCCGGTCTTCGATAGGTTCGCAGCCATAGTCGATACGTTGTTCCCTGCTCGTCAAAGCCAGCTTTGCTCGAGGCTGTGATCGCTTTTTGTGTCGTCGTCTCCATTGGGACCGATGCACTTGACGATGTCGATCATGGAGCAGCTGGAATGGCTGTTATCAGCACTGCGCTCGAGTGTATGATATGGCTCGCGACATCGCGAGCAAATGTGAAGACTAGCCGCTCGTCATTTCCGTGACTATTCCCATCGGGCGTGCAAGTGCTTCTCGTAAGAAATGATGCTAGAAGTGCAGGAGCGACTGCCGCGTGAGGTCCAAGCTTGTTAGTATTGTCACGACAACAAGTCTGACGTTGGCTCGCTAATCATCTGGTGCACACTACTTCATCTTGCCATCGTGATAAGCCCTTACTTAACGAGTATTCACGTTTCACGAAGCTTTCTTATCAACGTTTGGGCGTGTTTGGCTGCAGACACTTTGGCCTTCCCAAGAAATCCGTGGGAACAAGTAACGAACACGTCAAAGCAAAGCGTAAAAACACCGGACCTACGGATCAGAACCCCTATCGACGACCAGAAAGCCAAGTGTATCCTCACGACGCAACCTCTATCGACGTCCAGCGTTTGCGCCTAGTCAGCGTCAATTGTGAAGCACGGGCTTTACGTGCTACCATTCTTCATTGCCACGTTATCTGCACATATTGTCTGGTACGGTTTCGCTTGTGCTAACTCAGTGGCGTCACACACAGCAAGCGCTTCAGGCTTTTCCGTGGTGAACGTTGATTGACCCAAGCCCGCAATTGAAACGAAAAAAAAACGACGACGACGACGACATCGTGACACGGAAAAGTGATACTTGCTACATTGTCCACCGCAATCTTCCAATGTGTTCCGATCACATGTCCCGACGTGACCGACTGCGGGCGTTACATTTTTTCGACCGACATATATTGTAGTGAAAAGAAAAAACGGGAGAACTGGCCGAGACAAAAAAACCTCGTTCCCAATCACCCGTGGGTCCTTCGAATCGACGACGCTCGACACCCACCCACGTTTTTTGCGACGGGACTCGGGTCTCCTTAAACTAGGACCCAACGCGGGCAACTAACGTGGTCCACGCATTCCATCCGCCACCTGCACGGCAAATCCAAATGACAGACGCCGTGTCCTCGCTCCGGTTCGAGCGCGACTACTACGCGCTCCTTGGGGTCCCCCGTGACGCCACCAGCGACGCCATCCGCAGCCACTTCCTCTCACTCTCGCGCGAGTTTCACCCGGACCGCCAATCGCGGCGTCACGATAACGCAGCGCTCGTTGCAGCGGCCAACGCGCAGTATGCCGTGCTCGATCGAGCGTACAAGGTGCTCTTGGACCCCGTGAAGCGGCGCGTGTACGACATTTATGGCGAAAAGGTGAGCCGAAGGTGACGGTCAAAAATTCGACGGTCGATCGAAAGTTGTGTGTGTGTTGGTGTTTAGGGTATTTTTATTGACACACAAGAGTGGTACACTTTTGGATACTTATGGAACTAAACAATGTGGCTTTGCGATGGGATATTCGGTTGTTGTTGTTTTCTTTCCTTTTGGTATCTGTAGGGCGTCCAGGCGTTTGAGCACAATAGCGCCGTGCAGCAACAAGTGGTAGGAGCCCATTTCGAGTCACCGGAACACGTGCAGCAATGCGTGGAGAAGATGCTGTTTCGCATGAATCAACAGGCCCTGGAAGCGCAGTTCTCGTCGTTTAGTGAAATGTCCATGAACGTTGATGCGTCCGACTTTGTGCAGGCGCCAATGCAAGGGCTGCGCAGTTTGTTCCACAGTGGATCGCGGTTCGTGGACCGCACAGAGATGACGATGCATCAACGTACAGCGTTCGTGCTGTCGCCAAGTACAACGCTCACGCTTGGAGGGTACATGTATGACAAGAAGGGGTTGGGTATGGGTAGTTTCACGACGCAAGTGATGCATACGTCGTCTGACCCGAGCGTCCCGTCGTTCACGGTGACGAGCGAGCTGGGCTGGGCGCCAAAGCTTCAGTGCCAAATCAGTCAGCCAGTATCGCCGCAGACGGTCTTTATGCTCGTTCCAGAGCTTGATGACAATGGCCTCGAGCTCGCCTTGGGTGCGAATCGACTGCTGACGCCACAAATTCACGGTGCAATGATGTGGAGTACGCGTGACGGTCTTTCGGGCTCACTCAGCCAGGATACCGGAACACAGAGTGCCACGGCGGCCGTTGCCGTGAACAGTGGGGGACCCAACTTGACGTTTCAATTTCGTCGGGCTTTCATGACTGCAACGACAGCTAAGCTATCATTGCGTGCAAATTTCGCGACGGGCTTGTCGTTTGTGGCGGGAGCTAGCCGCGAACTATCGAATCGTACACGACTCGGACTAAATGTGTTGCTTGCGCGCACAGGTGTGACTCTACGTTTAGGTTTCACTCGCGGAAGTGTCCGCTTCGTCATGCCCATCTTCCTGTCTCCATTCTCTGCGCAGTCAGCTTTCTCTACCTTTTGCGCAGCCACGTCGCCCCTGCTGGTGGCTGCCGTCGTCACCCAGCTTGTCAAGCCGGGCCGAGAACGGCAGCGTCGTTTGGAGCTGGAACGCCGACATGATGTGCTCGTGCAGTATCTTGCTGCAGCGCGACAGAATGCACTAGAGCAGCAGAAGCTGATGTCTCGGTGCGCAAAAGAGAAGATGGATCAGGAGCGGCAACGACTAGACGGCAGAGGGCTGGTGATTATGCTGGGTCGGTACGGCAAGGACCCGACGAGTCCTGATCCACGCGAATCCCATGGGGATGATCTAACTGCGGCGCTTCAAGCGATAGGGAGTTGCGAGGAGACCGGCGAAGATGGCGTCGAAGTCGAAACCAGCAGCAGGGAACGCACAGCGCAGCAAGACGTCGACGGCGATGTGCTGGGGCAGAAATGGATCGACGTTACGGTTCCTCTCCAGTTCTTTGTCAAGGTATGTTTGCGTCCTGGCGTATGAAGCTCGTCAAGCTCAATGGGTTGTTACTGTGTCAACGATGTGTAGGATGGAGAGCTGGCCTTATCTCGCGCATCGAAGGCTGGACTGCTGGGGTTTTACAATCCGTGCATTGGCGCAGACCAAACGATTGCTGACACACGATCGCCACCAAGTTCTGCTGCGAAACCGTTACTGTAAGGAGCTTGACTGAGATTTTCTGCAACTGAGTGTCCGTTGCATGTACCTTACTAACCCCGTATCCATTTTGGGATCGTAGCTACGTGCGTTACGCGTACGATGGTCAAGTGTTCGAGGCTACTTTTGATGATGACCAAGCGGTCAATTTGCCATCCCGGTTTGCTCAGGTCATGGGGACAGTCGGGAGTGTGTACTAGAGACTACGTGACATGAAGAGAAGATACATTGCTCGTGACGAGCACTAGATTCTAGGTGTGCCCCAGGTGACGATGGGTGCTTATTCTGCTGTTTCTGGTTGCGTGTATGATTCACCAGGATGGGCAAAGGAATATCGTGAGGTGTGCAATGTGTTGTACCCGTTGTTTGTTTTCGGATCGGTGCTACGTGTTGCATGTGGACAGCGCATCGGCTGTTGCATTCCGTGACTGCGCACCATAAAGCTTTACTGGATGGATGCGTGCGCTCTCGTGTACAGTTACCACCCTCCAGAATCAAACGAAGCGATGCTCGATCGCAGATTTGACGCTGGTACTGTAAACCTTTGTGTTGTTCGTAAAGCAACGCAATGTTCGAAATTACAACAGAACAGTCGGATCGATTGCTTTGTACGTATCATGATACGTGCAGTCTGTTCTCTCGCTTTCGTCCTCGTACGAAGAGCGCCGTTGCTCATAAGTTCCTTCGGCTCCATGAACGGGTAGGTCCAAAGAATATCAACGGTAGTCCTCAATCAGGCAATGTACAGACGAACAGTCACAGTACTTGCTAAAGCTGCAACAGTAACATGTGATGATGACGTTGCCAAACCGCTTTGTTCGTTCCCCTCGGTCACGTCAGATCGACTGTCCGCGTGGTGCCCTTCCAGCTCGAGCGTCGCCCTTAACATTGGCATTCCGCGTCTCGCTGGATCAGAGACACTAACCAAAGCTTCGAACATCCCCCACGATAAACTTACGCGGTGGCTTTATCGCCGTTGCAGCTGCTGCCATCTCCACGTCTGCCGTCGCCCAACTTGCAAGCAAGGGGGAATCAGCTTGCTATATCCTCAATGATGATGACAGAATTGGGAACATAAGCGCCAAGTGGCGGAAAATACGATTGACCCGAAGCGCCCGATAAGTTTCACGACTGGTGTTCCACAGAGTGCAGTAAGAGTCACCGGACTTGGGACATCATCCGTAGATCTACATATGGTGTCGAAGATCCGGCGAATATGCTGCATGAACGCACTGGCCACCTACCGGATAGAGTACTAGTAATCGACAATCAAGAATCCTAGCCACAAATAAGTAGTCATTGCGTTACAAACTCTTTTCTCGTGGCCATTCCCTTGCTTTTGGGTACTTTTGCATCGCTTGTCAATAGCTAATCGGTGCTGTAGCGCAGTTGCTGACCGCAACGAAGCATGAGAACAGGTTGAGATGGTGACGGCGCGTCACCTAAGTACCACGTCGAAAGCATTGTACTCCACGGTCCTCCTGTCTAACGAGTGAGTGAGAAGGTGAGGTATATTTAGGTATGCGGACAATCTACTGTAGGAAAGCGAGGAATTTTCTATTAGGCTGGGTCGGAGATTCGGCGCGATGTTTCGATTAGCGTCATCCGTTGGATGGAAAGAGGGCAGGGTAGCTGCTTGAAAAAAAGAGTGGTGAGGATATCGTTGAAGAAAAGAGCGGTAGAAGAGAAGACAAAATGTTTAAACACAGAATCTAATCGTCTTCCTACTGCAACACGCATACTTACTTGCCAACACCTACTATATCCTGTAATCGGGCAACAAAGTTCCGCGATAACGACTATTTTATAGACTAGATAGCACTAGTCCTCGGACAGCAGAGCGCCTACGCGCAGTCTCGTGTCTCGAGATGATCATGTTCCTCGGCGTCAGTGCAGGGCCCTGTAGTTCGTGTTGTGCAGTGTGAGAGGCCTCCAGCCAGTGGTTTACTTCATTGTTGAGAAATGCTGAAGCCTCCGTGCTATACCTTGTTTGGATGCGTGCACTTCAGTGGAAGCCTCTGTATTCATAGCGATGTTTGCTAGTCGATCCGCCGTTTTGTTGCAAGTGCGGTAATGATGCCCCCAACTGGAGACATCGATAGCACTAGCGAGGGCGCATGCTTCTCGAAACGATCGCAGTAAGTGAGGCTTGTGTGGAGGGTGTCGATTTCGAAGCTGCGAAAGCACTAGCGCACTTTCCTTAATGACATATAGAAGTGAGTAGCCTCTGGTCTTCGCTTGTCGAAGACCGTGTACGAGCTCCCAGTATTCTGCTACATTTTCAGTTGTACCGGCGGAACCATAAGCCACTCTCGATACCCATATGACGCAAGCAGCGTGCGTCTGAATGTGGAGTTGGACAATGACGGATCCAGCTCCACCCGGACTCGATTTCCCCCGGCACCCTCCGTCGAAATATAGGATATACGGTACGCCAGGGCAGCGTTCGTGAGGCAGTATGAGCAACACAGACGAATCATCAAAGCAGAGGAGAGTGTCAGCCAATGCTGACCTTACGCTCGAACAGATTTGTCCGTCTCCGACTATATCAGGCTGGTATACTGCTCCACGAAACCGTGTAACCGCCCGTCGAAAGAGGGTCTGAGCCATGGCTGAGTGTACCTCCTGAGTCAAAAACGAATCGGCCATTCGCCGGAGGCACTCGACCTAGATGGAATGGAGGATCGTAGACACGACAAAACGCCACATCTCTCGAGCTGCTGGAAAGAACGCATCCTGAGCCTTGGACAAATCCGCACTCAAATCGAAATATTGTTTGACAGCACTCCATGCAGGCTTCGGGATACCAGGGAGGTGCAAGCCGAACACCCAGACGTTCAGGTCTGCCGCCAGTAGAGGGCCGAGCCACCGCCATCGGTCAAGGAGATAGTCCCAGTGGCGACGTGCACAAGGGCAGGTCAAGAATATATGGCTTGCCATGGCTGGACCAGCTGCCGCACACGCAGAGAAGGGGTACGACAGATCTTGGGTAGCCCAATTTCAGAGTAAAAAGCTGTTATACTTCAATTGATACAGCTTCTGAGAGTTGGTCAGAAACGAAGCCCGAATTTGCCGAATATCTCACCAAGTAATCAATGGTGTACCTTCCGATATCACATGAAAATCCACTTTCGCGTCACACACATCGACAAGGCGAACTTCTTCAGCAAGGAGGCCGCTTGAGATCGTCTGTTTCAACTTTTTTGCGTCGCGGCCGCCATCGGCGCCGCCCGTCCCAAATGTGGAAAACGCGCGTAAGCGCCGTATGCGCGCCAAAGTGGACAGGAGTCCCACTGACCGTAGACGCAGCGATGTCACATGACGACATCGACGATGCGAGTTTCACTCCGCAGTCGATGCCCGAATTATAATAGGTCAGCGAAGTAACATCACGATTGAGCAACCAGTAATGATATCGGTGCACTTTCGTCGAATACGCAATCAGTGTTCCCGACCCTATTGCCCGATATACGAGTGCTGAAAAAAATATACAAGAGGGTGATACAGAATAACCCGATATGCCTCCATTTCACCATATATCGAGTTGCAATATCACACGTGGGTGAAAACAGACAATACCGCACTGCACAGTTGTCCAAGACTGTATATCGCCAATATATTGCTTTCCCCACGCAAAGCCAGCTCCGTTCAAGTTATACGTCTGTCCGCGTTGATCCCTCAGCCACGACATATCTTTGAGCGTAGCGTGCACCATCTATCGTTGGTCAAATCAACTCGTTGAAGCTACTTCAGCCCTCATCCCGGTGCGCAGGTTGTCATCAATTATACGGCCAACATCGATTTTGACACCACCGTCGTCGTTATAGTCGACTTCGTATATCGACGTAAAAGAGATAGCTATACGGCAGATCTCCTGGATATCACCTAGGCGAGCATGTAGATCCGCTGAGATCCCAGCACTTTCGGACCCAGTTAACCAGAGATACGCGCGATATCTAGGGTGCTTGTGCGTTGTCCAACAGGGCGTGCTGTGAGCCGTTCCGGACTTAGAAGAGCCCTATAAAAGTCACCAATTAGTCAATCGTGCGAAGACTCAGTGGCAGCCCACTGACCGACGTCTGTCGCCTTCATAGTCATGAATTTCGTTGATATACAGGGCACCGCTAATCCACGTTGCTAGATCGGTAGTAAAACCGTCTCGGAAGGGACCCATGGAAGGGATCCCTTTCTATCACGTAGACCCCATATAAAGTCCAGAATCAAGCTGTGCAACCGAGTAATCACGGATGGAGGATGCCAAAAGTGCCGTGCTAAGAAGATTATTTTGGGCACCGCAACGGCACTGACGATACGAGCGCGTTATTCCACTGTATGAGTCTTCTCACGGGATAGTACAAGCCGGTCCACATATTAAGGATGCATTTGTTTCATTTTTGGCCACCGCTTCTTGCTGTCCTACCAGAACCCCGAGATACCTGCACGATGCGCTGGAAACCTGCAGACTGAGGACACAGGTGTCAAGCGGCTGATCAGATCCGCGAGGGTCCAACTCAATGAATATGAATTTTTCTCGATTAGTCCGGAATCCCGAAACACTGGCAAAGTCGTCAAGAATAGTTACAACTGGTGTAACCTCAGACCGATCTTGACGGTATACCGCAGTATCGTCAGCGTATCCTGCTACTTTGAACTTAGTAGTCCGTCGTACAGCCGTGAGAGGTACCCCGCGGATGTCTCCCGTGCTCGGATCACCCTATAGACACTATGGAGAGCGAGAATAAAGCGTATAGGAGCCAGGTGACACCCTTGACTAATACCACAGAGAATCTCACGGCGACTGGAGCGATAACCGCTTCCAAGAAATCGGCAAGTCGTACCACGGTGTAATGCTGCCGCGACCGATACAAATTTCGGCGAAGAGCCAAGCCATGAACGAGCAACAAGCAAATGTAGCCGTTGTAGCGTGTCGTAAGCCTTGTCGAAGTCGAGAAGCAGGACAATGGAAACATTTCAATCGCTTTCCGAAGCTGCAGCTTCGCGAGCTTCCGTAAAGATGTCAAGAGCCGTATGTATTGATCGGCTCGAGACAAAATGAACTTGATCTGGAAGAAGAGATGCGACAGCATCGGCCGCACCCGAAATGATAGGATTTTAATAAACAACTTGAAGTTGCTGTTGGGCAGCGCGATCGGGCAATGATCAAGCGGCAATGCGGAGGCCGCCTTTTTCTTCAAACATT